TCCAGAATCCCATTTATAATATTCATTCATGTTATCACAGAAAGGAGATTCACAAAATAGTCTTTTGTTCACCTGACTGATTAGGCATTTCTATAAATTTTAAAATGTTTTGAAAAGTACAAATTAGAAAGGTCACCTGCTTGCTTCCTTTCCTTAAACACGAATTTAGAGTGATACTGGGATACTGGCTATTTTTAGAGAAATTTTCGTGTCCTGTGCCTAAACTTTACCTCTTTTTCATAAATATTAACTTCCTTGCCTTAGTTTGTTTTAAATATTAGAAATTAAACTGCTGAGATGAAATAATCTCACAGATAATTAATCTTTCACATAGGGATCCTTTGTCAATGTAGATCAGAAAGTGACCACGAACATGTTATAGAGTGCTTTTGATTTCATATGAAGTTAGGTAGTTCAAAGATAGAAAGAAACCAATCATTGTAAATTATGTACTGAAAAAAAATTTTTAAAAAATACTTATTAGTATTAATTCCTGCTCTTTGAATCAAATTCAGATGGCTGTAAGAACACTTTAATATTCTGATTATCACTTGAGCTATTAAAGGCACTTACGGTTTCCTAGTTCTTTTAATATTTATTTCCTTCTGCATCTCTTTACTCCAAAGGTTGTGATAAATCAGAACAGTTTTGTTTTTTATTCTAAGATATTAAAGGGAATCTATCATTTAGTTTCACCTGTAGTCTCATCAGCTTTGTAAGTCCTGGCTGCCTGCGTTGGCTTTTTCTGAGGTTCTTCACCAGCAGCTGATTTAATCTTTGTTTATCAAATGGACTCAACAGGACAGTGAAGATCTAAGTCCTGTTCACTGTTTGTAGATATGGCTTTCCAGTACATCCTTATACTACTACAATGTAAATCAAGTCTCATCACTGCCCTGGACTTTTAAAACCACCTTCTGACTTGTCTGTGCAACACACCAACTACCAATGACCTCCTCAAATTCACATACTGAAATTCTAAGGCTCCAGGAATAGTATTAGGAGGTAGGGACTCTGAGAGATCACCAGCTCATGAGGGTGGGGCCTTGGGGAAAGGGATTAGTGCCCCTAGCAACAGATCCTAGAGAGCTCCCTTGTCCCTTCCGCCATGTGAGGGTTTGATGAAAATGTGCCATCACAGAACCAGAGGGCAGGGGTGGATCTTGGCCTTCCAGCTCCCAGAGCGAGTTTCCTCCCCTCTAACTCTGTTTTAAGATCGTTTCTGTATCTTATGTGTAATTGTCCATAGAATTTTAAAATTCCAAAATAATGGAAGAAATGTTTTCATCTCATCAGCGTAATTACTCCAACTAGTACACTGTGTACGCTGCCTTCACTTTTTCTCTCATATACATAAGACCGGTGATCGAAACATATGGTGAAAAATTAAAACATTGCAGTAAAAGACACCTTGCCATTAGTCCCAAGCAAAACACTCCCCGTTACTTCAAACATACTTATCCCATCCCTCTTGCCATTGCCTCAAGCAGTTATGCAAGTTCTTCCTGTCTTTATAAAGTACGATGAAAAATAGGGTGAACGTTGGGGCCAAGGGCCATGCAGTAGAAAGGGAGCCTCTTAAATCCACCACAGTGTGTTGTCATTCGCTTCCATCTGACCTACCACCATGCAACTTCCGGATCCTCCACAGAGTCCAAATGACCCAGAAAGGTAAGTGTTTTGAATTGACTCAGGACATCAAGGCCACCGTAAGGGCGTAATGAGATACTCAGGAAAGTGGACCTTCAGAACCCTTCAGAAAGTGGTAAGAAGGATGGGATATGTGTTTGAAGTGAGGGAGATTAACATCAATGTGACTTTTATTGTAATAATTTTAAAAATTTAACTGTTAACATTTTAAATTCGACATGTTTGCTTATATATATTAATTACAAAACTTTTCATAGTCACTAAGGACTGATTCATGCCTATTTGATGCTCACTTTCTGATATTTATTGGTATAAAAGCAGAGATGGAAACCCCTCAGTTTTTAATATTTGCTGTTATAAACAGTACTGAGATGGGAACTCTTATAAACCAAACGTTGTGTGTATCCATTTTTTATATTTCCTTATAACACATTTCTAGATGAGGACTGTTTTATTAAATAATATAAAATTGATTAAGCTTCCATTTGCTAAAATGCTCTTCATAACTGAAAATGACAGTTCCAACCAGCAAAGAAGAATGATCATTGCTCCCCACCCACATGAACAGTGGGTATAATTATTTATTTTTCTTCGTCTCAGATTTCTGGTTTTAACATGAAAAATAAAAGGGTCTTCCTGGCCACAATCTAGACAGTATCACTCAGGCTTTTGGAATCAGTTATTCTGGAAAACAGATGCACAAACCCAGCTTCTCAAACCTTTCCTCCAGAGTGGTCTGTGGGCCTGATTTGCCTGTGCAATTTCCACAGTGGTAACACCTTAGTTCAAAAACCACTGTCCTAGCAAATGCAGAAAACTGCAGCAGCAGACACCCTAATTACAGACAAAGAACAGCGAGGGGACAAAAAGCCTCCATCTGAAGAGTAGGGAGAATAGGTTTCATTTCATTGGTTGGAGCACATGGAAATACGCCATGCACAGGAGGGTTTCGGGTTGAGAAAAACTAGAGATTTTCCAGAGCAATAGTTGGAAAAACCAGACTTAACCCAGCTCTTGTGCTCCATCAGTGACATGAAGACATCCTATGAAAGCGATTTCTCCTGGGTATCTGCAATGGTCGTGACTTTTCTCAGTAGTAATTAACGAAAAGAATTCTGCTAGCTCCAGCAAAGGAGGCTACAGAGCAGATATCTTTGGCTTTTCTTTCTTTAGTTCTTTCTCCTTCTGTGTGTTACTTTCTTTTCCAGGCATTCTCTCCCCTCATGTTGACAAAGATAAATCTAAAATATCCCAGGGCAAACCTAACATCTTTATAACTTCCAAGGCAGAAGGAATCCTCTCACCCTTGGCTTCCAAGGGTGCTTCCAATCCAAGCACCCTTGGCCTGCTTGGTTCACCTGTGGAGTCATGAAAGACACGTGAGTCACCCCACCAAGATCAGGAGTAGGTAGGGGAAAGGGATTTTCCTACGGAGAAAAAAAAAATAAAGATACCATGCTCACCGCCCATTCCTACTCACTGTTGTTTCCAGTTGACCTGAAGACTACACAGAATATAAAATCAGTTTTGACACTGACCTCTTAAAGTCTAATTAGAAAAAACCAGTAGTCACCCAAAGCAAGGCATTTGGTGGTGAAAAGCAACCTTCTATTTTAGCTATGGCTACAGAAACATACCTAAAAGTGGGGACCATTGACTGGCTGATCAGCTGGTGAAAACTCAAAGGACGTAGGTGTGCTCTTTTTGCACCGAGGAAAAAACATTGTTAGAAAATAAATGACGTCTACCTTGCATTCCACTGAAAGGTCTACAGGACTTTAATTGGTATTTGCTTTCATGATTGGCAAATAACTGTAGACTATTGTCCTCTTTAATTGCAGCAAGCTATATTTAAAAATGTTAGTAGAATAAGGTGTTGCACAGTCTGTTCAAGGTCAGTGGTCATAAAATAACCTAGATAAAATGTATCATACATAATAACCCAACCTACTGAATAGATTTTTTATTGTATGGGGAAAATACTTTTAATATTTCAACAGGTGTGGATACCTGCACTGACTCCTATGTCCCAAAAGTGTTAAAAATGATTCTTTCTTTGCTGCTTTTACTGCTTTCTGTTGGGAAACAAATTCTCATGGAACAAATATAAATTCCCCACTCACTTTGCACATTTGTATCTTCACTAGATAAGAGCTTCTTTTCTGTCAATGATTAGAACTGATACAGTGTTTTTTTTTCCCCGTCTTCCCCACGTTTCTCTTCAGACTTCTTAGATGGACCACAGAAAACCTGAGAAATAACACTGGAAAATGAATGTCAGATTTCTAAAATTGGTTTTCTGGTAGTTGTGTAATAGAAAAGTTACTAAGCCTCTCGGAGCCTAAGAAAAGTTACTAAATCTCTTGGGATTTCCTAGTAACCTAAGAAAAAAAGTTCCTAAGTTACTAACTTTATTGTAACATACCTACTGTATTAGGTGAATGTGAGAATCAGTATAAATAACAGTCATAAGGTTTATAACACATACCTTGAAAGGTAGGAAGCACTAACAGTTGCTTATTATTTACAAGGGTCAAAGTTTGCGATAAATACAATAATACCTACTCTACTTAGAGAAATGACAAGTGATAAAACAATTCCTAGGCCATAACACAAGGTAGTATGTGCTCAGATATAGTCTCCTAATATTTACCTATCAAAACTAGTTCTTGATGATCGAGAACTCTTTCATCTTTCATACAATAAACAGCATCAAGTAGCAACTTGTTTCTCTAAAGACTTTTTTTTTTTGGTGCAAATACTTGCTTTCAATTTGTTAAAACTGGATTAGGCCTAGGGATTTAGCACAGTGGTTCCATTGCCTGTCTCACAAGCACAAGGACCCAAGTTCAAACCCTGGCACCCCCACCACCCCGAAATAAAGTAACCTATTTTAAAAAGCTGGAGTAGTCCCATTGTTTTTTACTGTGAGCTCCTATATAATTTAAATCTTATATTTGTTTTGCCCTTACTTTATTTTAAGGAGAAAACTCTCTTTGTCATTACCCTTTACATCACACCTTTTCTCTGTCCCTAACTAGATCATGAGAAGAGACATGTAGTGTCTACCCGAAACTCTTTCATCTCCAGATAATCTTTTAAATAGCAAGCACCATAATTGAGTTCAGGTGGCCATCGCCAGTGAGCTAAATCCTGAGTGAGATTAAGATGAATGACAGTGCTGCCTGCCAAGACCCGTAGTCCCTGCAAGGAATGAGAAATGAAGGGAATCAGGGTTGGCACTGGTGGTGTGATTACAGGAAAAAGAGAGAAAGGGGAGGAGAGGGAGGGGAGAGTGTTTATGCCTATGTGAGAAATATTTCAGAGCACAAATCTGTCTTCTTTCGTACCTTTAATATCCCCACACTCTGGGGGTCGACCATGTAGAACCAGAACCGAAGCATGCACATGCCCAGGCTTGCTGGGAAGTATCCGGCAGTAAGGATTCTTGCGGTGGTTCCTTCTCGGGGGCCGGAAGAGCTGACATACAGGAAGTGGCGGCCACTACCTTGAAATAGAGCGACACGATTGTGTGAGCGCAGAAACACATCTGACAGCATGACGATGCCCTTGAACCATGCGCAGGTCTCATTTCCGCCCTGACCACCTGCACACAGTCAAACGTGCTGCTTCCTTCCCGAGTCATAGATCAGTAACATTCGATTATTTATGAACCATGAATGTGTTGCTAGCATCACGCGATTCACAACTTTCACTCTGCCGCGTGACCGGCGCCTAAATCCATAGAATTTTGGTGCTGGTTATGAAAGTGGGCGTCTTCCTCTCCTAATCGGCTCGCACTTGTCCGTGTTTGTAAGCCCTGCGGAGAGCAGGTACGAGGTGGGCCCTGGGGACTGATGTGATACTGTATCCGATTTCCTGGTGCCCTGATCCCTAGCGCCATCGATGGTTACACTGTAACTGCAGCGTGATCCTGAGAGTCACCGCAGGATCACCACAGTACCTCCTCCGAGCCACAGATAAACTCTGCTTCTCAACTGCATTAATGTGTGCAAGCGCTCTCTGTTTCAGCACAGCTGAAATCAAACTCTTTGGTGGGCATCAGTGGCAAAATATATCACAGCCACTATTTCTTTCCACGGCTTTACTTGGGGTAGGATTCAAATACATCTCTACTTCTATCTGTACAGATTGAGAATGCCAAATCCAGGGGACTGAAATCACTTTCTGATTGAAATTCTATTTTTCTGTGGCATTTTTATGCTGGGAGAACAATAATGGTATTAGTGACTTGGATTTTTTTTTCTTTTCTTATTTCAGTCTGGCTCGAGGGTTTTCATGCTCATCTTCAAATGAGTAGCTTTTTTCACCTGTGATTTTATCTTTTGATTTTTAAATACAATTTCATTATTCTCTGCCCAATATTCATTATTTGCTTTGGCTAACTTTGGATTTAAACTGCACTTCATTTTCTAATTCCCTAAGCTGGCAGTTTTGATTATTGATTTTATCTCTTTCTTCTCTTCAAATATATGTACTTAAGGCTAAAAATTTACTTGGAATCTCTGCTTTAGCTGAAACCCACACGCTTTGATGTTTTCTTTTTATTTGGTCCAAATATTTTAAGATGTTTCTTGAAACTTCTACAATCTACTGTTTATTTGTTTATGACAGGATCTTATGTATGTTGTTCAGGTTGGCCTTGAATTTATTATATAGTCTGGGCTGGCCTCAAACTCATGGTGATCCTCCTGCCTCAGCCTCCTGAGTGCTAGGATGACAGGTACACTCTACCACCTGGACGACCTATATGATTTTTAGAGTTTTGTTCTTTAATTTCTATGTGTTGGGGGCTTCAGGGTTTTATGATTGTATTTGTTGCTGATTTGTTTCATTTTGCAGTACAGGGTATTGAATCCAAGGCCTATGCATTGAGCTATACCCTCAGCCCCTTTTTAATGTGTTTGTTTGTTTGTTTGTTTTTGTTTTTTTTTTGAGACAGAGTATTGCTAAAGTTTCCCAGGCTGACCTTTGGGTCCTCTTACCTCAGCATCCCAGAGTCTGTTACTGATTTCTAGCTTAATTTCATCATGGTCTGACAGCACACATTTTAAGATTTTTTTTTCTTTAAAATTTTTAAGGGTGTGTTTCATGGCCCCTAACTTCCTGTGTCTTGGTCAGGGTTACGTACACAACTTGAGAAGAACGCCTTTTCAGCGGTCTTTGGATGAAGTGGATCTGTAGGTGCTAGTAGATAAAGTTGTTCGATTCAACTAGGTCCTTCCTGACTTTCTGCCTGCCTGCTCTGTCCACTGCTGCTAAGCAGCATCGAGTCTTCACACTATGGAAGTGTGTAATTATTTTTCCTCCAAGTTTACCAGGCTTAGCCTCAAACATTTGGATGCTCTTATGTTAGCCTCTTGCATATTAAGGTTCGTTTTGTCTTCAGGGGAGAATGATCTCTGTGTGATGCAATCTTCTCTTTACCCCTGATCATTTTCCTTGCTCCCAAATTGTCCTTGTCCGAACCCTCATGTCGCCTTTTGATTCCAGTTAGCATGGCATTTCTTTCTACACAGCATTGCTTTACTGTTGTTAATCTGAGTCTTTATATTAATTGCAGGCTGCTGTCTATATATTTGGTTTTTTTCCCATTCTGACAGTTTCTGTCTTTTAATTAGTGAATTCTGATTATTATTGCTTAAAGAAATTGATATAGTTGAAATAATACCTGTCAAATTTGGTTGTGTTTTGCCTTCATGACTTTGTTTCTCTTTTTTCTTCTATTCTTTTTCTTTCTTTTCTGGATTCAATTAAGCATTTTATATGTCTCCACTTTTTATCTTCTGCTAGTTTATGCTTTACGTTTTTAAAAAATGTGTTTTATGGTAGAATTTTCAAAATATAATCAATCAAGTGCACTGTCAAATAACATTACACCGTTTCATGGGCAACGTGGGCACTGCGAGGCGGCGTTTTCCCATTTACTCCCTCCCATCTCGTGCAACACCGCTGGAAATTTCCATCCCCCCAGGCCAACCAGCTTCTACTAAAGGAGGACAGGTCTTGTTAAGAAGAATAGACTATCCCAGGAGTATTTCTACGTGACTACTCTCCCTTTTCTTGTTGAAGACAGAAAACTTTTTTCTGCTCTTCATAGGGAGACGTGAAAACGAGCAGGGGGGACGGGTCCTCCAAAGATCGAATCCCACCTGACTTTTTATCTCTTTTTGACACTGAGCCTGTACCTACCGGCCCAGTAGCCTAGAACTTGCTCCCAGAGAGGTTTTGGTTTACAGCCTTCTGTCCCAGGAAGTCCTTATCTGCTGCGTCCCTGTCTTTCTAATTTAGGGACAATGCTCTCCCTGTGACCTCAGCGCCTTACAGGATCTAAAGAGAGTTGCCAACTTCTAGGTTGTTTCAGCTTGTTTCTGGCGAAGGGGAAGAGAATAATGTTTTCCCAACTTCTTAAATAACAAGTAGAAATTGGAAGAGCCTGACATCTGTCTATAAGAAGTCCCTTCCTGAAAATACCTCTTTTCACCTACAATGTGTTATAAAGGCTATCAAAAAGAATTCTAAGAAAAACAACCAAAACACATGACCTGAGAATAACTTCAACAATACTGTCCTTGATACACAAAAGTAAGAGTGGGAAAAACTCAAAAACTTTTCCTGCAGCATTGGTAAGCTTTCTTCTATCCTGAAAGTCCTCAGAAATATATCGTGTGTCCTACGAACAAGGACCAGAAAACTAAACACAGTGTTTTAATTCGTCCATGAATGCAGTTTTCTAAGTTTGAGAAGATCACGTTTCCTCATGCTCAGTGCTAAGCTCACAATGAAAGTTGATATTTAAAGCAACTGGAAAAGTCATAATAGCATTCACTGATGCAAATTTAATCAATTTAACCAAGTTAAAGACTGAAGCATGATTTAAAACTTTGTATAGCTAAGTTTCTCCCTTTATCTGCATAAATACATCGGAACTCCATTAATTTAGATGCTGCTTCTGAAGGAACCTAGCCCTACCCTTATTTTTGAAAGGCCAATTGTAAGTGGCAGCAACCTGAATAAAGTCTGAATGTGGTGACTTTTGCTGTTGCCCACAAGCTCCTAAGATAATTCACAATATCCCGATGACGCAGTAACCCTTTCATGGTACACAGGGCGGGAGATAAGATCTTAATTTTGTTTCTCAATTACTTAATTCCAAGCAGTCTAATAAAGATTAACATTCTCATGTCATTGTAGGCATTTGAAAGCATAATATACACAAATGGGAACAACAACCTTTTTCTAATTTGATCATTTTTGAGTAGCCACCGTTAGTTTCTAACAGACTGTGTGCCTGCTGAACAGTATGCAAATTCTCAAAACAGATTCAGATTGAATACTGTCTACTTCATTCCCAATTGCACACACATTTTCTCTAGAACTCACTTTTATCATCCCAAGTAGTGAAAAACAGCTTATATGATGCTATAGAAACCCAATTTTAGAATTTTAGTGCTACATCGTGGAATGCAGAGTATAAAAGAAACATAATTTCCTGGAGATGACAACCTTTCTCTACAGCATATGGATTTCTGTGCAGGACAATGTCATGGAAAGCTCAACATCAAAGCTAGCAGTTCCAAGTGTTTGGGACTCTGGGCTAAGTTCTCAAATTATTTACCACACAGCCTCTTCTAATTTTACATACTCATTTTTGGTCTTATGAAATACTGCCATTGAACACCAAAATTAGAAGTTGGTTCTTGGCTGAGGTGTTACTGCATGCCAATAGGAAATCGCATCCATTTTCAAACAGGAATGCAAACATTTGTCTGATAATTTAGAAGCCACTGTGGCAAATTTGGTCTTTGACAAGTGTTTCATTCTACACCTCTTCTGTAACTAAGTCTGGCTTTGGAAGGGGACACCTTGTAGCAATGGCACATTTCTTTCTCGAGAATCACAAAGACAAAATGTTGCTGTGCCTCTTCAAATTATTAATAGAAATACGTGCATTACCCAGACACCATATATTGTACCACATTATAACACCTTATGTAGGTTAAACTTTCAGAAATAGACTCATTCTTTATGTAGTAAGCTCAGAATAGACCCACTTTCAAATACTGAGAAGATTTCTATTGTTTCACTGAGAATTTCCTGGTTATATATAGCAAGATCTTTGGGGATGGTCAGGGTAGCCTCCCACATTGGCAAGAATTTGTTAAAGCAGAAAATAAAGCTGAAAAGTCTCGATGTATTTAGAATTTAATGGTAAATCATTAAAGCAATTTCCTTTATTTATTTATATGTGACTGCAGAATGATCCGCAGCATTTATAAGACAGATATTTACACTGGAGAAGCATAATTTTTGTCTGTTTTATTTTGAACCATTTTATAGCTACTTGCCATTTTAAAAGCCACTTAATTCTAATATATGAAACCACAATGGCTTCAATTAACTTTGTAAAATGTATCATACTTTCAATACTACTATCTGCAGTTCTCTGGAATAGGAGGTTCATTAAATGATGCCCAATTTGTACCT